CTGAAACTTGGCTTACCACTGATATACCTGACACAAGGCTGATAATTGATAACTATGACATCCACAGGAATGATAGAGTGGACAAAAGAGGAGGCGGGTGTCTAATATATACCTCTAAATCCGCTGACTCCAATACTTTTACAAACTTAACTATCGACAAACTCCTAGAATCCAAGTGGATAAGCATCCACACGAATGAAAATAAAATTCTTGTAGGATGTATGTACAGAGCCCCTAACAGCCCTAAACCAACTAATACGGTTATCGGAGAAATACTAGAGATTGTACCTAAGCTGGAATTCAACTACAAACTAGTTTGTGGCGATTTCAACCTCCCTGGACTGAACTGGGATACGTGCACTGGACCGAGAACCTGCGAGGTGATCCTAGAAGCTTAGATGTAGGAGGATGGAAGCAGTACATACGCCTCCCAACACGACACAACAATATTCTCGACTTAGTTCTCTGCCACAAATAGAGGCGATCGCGATAGAAGTGGGGGATAAACTCGACAACAGTGATCACAACATGCTGTACTGCACCCTACCTCTACAACTAACAATTAAACACACACCCAAAAGTTCCCCGGCTTACTATCAATATAGGGACTATCGAAATGCCGACTGGGAATTCCTACCAACGCTCTTGAGAAGCTCTGACTGGGGTGAATACTTCACCAATAATAACTTAGAAGTAACACTTAATACCTTCTACAAGACAATCAGTTCGGTGAGAGACACAATCGCACCCCTGAAATCTGCCTTAAAGACACCAAGTATATTCATAGACCGCAAAACGCGATTAAAACTAAAAAAACTGAAAAGGAAATTTTATTTATATAAAGAATTCAGTGCATTACACCAGATACATGAAACATTTAAAAATCTTGAGGAGAGACATAAAATGAAGGCTTAACTCGAGGAAAATAAAGCACTTCTAGGACTCAGGAACTCTGCAAGATATTGCAAACACGACTGAAGAAGGGTGAAGACAACAATATTAGCCACTTAGAACATGAAGGTACAATTTATGATGATCCCCAGATCATTAGTGAACTCCTGAGTCAGCGGTTCTTCAATGACACCAAAGCGCATCCGTCCCCAATTCTCGACATAACCTGCAAAAACAAATACAGGTTAGGTGAAATCAACGTTAATACGCAAAATATAGAATCGGCAGTAAGGACATTAAAAGCTAACGGTAGTTGTGGGATAGACGATATACCATCCATCATATACAAAAACGGTGGTACGGATATGATAGTATTATTATTCAGAATATTTGATATCTCATTAGTGACTGGGACCTACCCTGAAACTTGGAAAAACACGTATATATTACCTAAGCTTAAAGGAGGGGCCAAAACTAGTGCGTGTAACTATAGGCCTATCAATATAACACCTGTCATATCGAGGATCATGGAGAAAGTAATCAAAGACCAAATGTCAGACTACTTTCTAGAACATAAACTCATCAACCTGTCACAACACGGATTCCTCAAGAAAAGATCTTGCGTCACTTGCTATATAGACACTTTCAACGAAGTCACTTATAGAAGAGATAGGAGAGAGCTACTAATTATCCTCTATTTTGATATAAGGAAAGCCTTCGATAGAGTCCCACATAGTCTGCTAGTCACCAGGCTATGCTCACTAGGGATACGCAACCCTCTCCACAATTCCCGACCGAAAGCTGCTACCTTGACGTGGTGGTCGGGCTTGAACACCACAATGACCTAATCAAGCTATACTGGCTGAGACTTATGTCTCTTGAGGTCCTACCATGCCAGAAAGGTTGTTTGGATAGCGGTTAAACAAAAAAGCAGCTACCCAATCCAGCATCATGATAAATACAAAATCACAAAATTTCATGCTGGATCGGCCGTGGCCCGGATTAACAACGACCGCGCTTCCTGCTGCCGTGTCACAGGGCAGGAGTGATAAGTAGGCTACTGAGGCACACAAAACAACAAAGAACGAACAAAAACAGGCCGCGTGTGACCGGCGACAAGCAGTTGTCCCCTGGGCTCTGCGGTCACGCAACCAACTTCCACGGTGTGGGCAGCCGGGAAGTAACAATCGCTCTCACAATCCAAAACGCACGCGAAACCTCTCTATTACTCACTCATCTTTGTTTTCATCTTCATCTCTATCATCTTGCCTTCCTTCCACTGATGCAACTCCTCGACTTGATAGCTCTCCACTCTGCGTCCACTAAAAACGATGGAAGCCAAAAAAGACATTGCTTGACTGGATCCCGGTAGATAGCCGAATGTGTGCTGTCCGTTTGAACGGGTCAGTAAAAAGGAGAAAGGACTGCACTACTCGCCGATGCCTTTTCGTAATCTCCGCTTACGCCCCCACTGACTGCAGTTCAGATGAAACGAAGGATGAGTTCTACCAAAAGCTGTCTAGTTTGGTGCGAAAGGCTAAACGCTCAAACATAGTCGTTCTAGCTGGTGACTTTAACGCTCAAGTAGGGAAATTGTGTCAATCTGAGAAGGATGTCGATGGCACTTATGGAGTTCCGTGCCAGCGAACCGACAACGGTGACCGTCTACTACAGTTCTGCTCTGATAATCATGTTTCTTGTTAGCACTAACTTCAAACACAAGGAGAGACACTGTTTGACTTGGAGACCCCCTTCATCAAGCCAACGCCGACCACGCACTGATCCGCGCTCGGGTGTGCTTACGACTGAACGGACGTAGGAAACAGCTGGCGGTAAAACCATCACGTCCCCAGCTCGCTCAGGAAACTAAATCCGTATTTGAGGAAGAACTAACTAAACACATATCTGTGTTCGACAGGTGTGCTCACACTGAAGAAGCTTGGAAAAATATCCAGGCAGCCATAGATACAGCTATAAAAGCTGTGAATAAGTTAAACCCAAAGGTGAGTAAAAACCACTGGATCTCCACCACCTCATCCGAACTGATAGATGCTAGAAGACTTATTCCGGCGAGCTCCGAATTCAATGAGGAGCGAAAGCTGCACAAGAGGAAACTTACGAAAAGTCTCTGCAAGGACCGTGAACAGTGGTGGGTGACAAAAGCCAAAGAGATGGAGAAAGCTTCGAGGATAGGCAACACCAGGAAACTATTTAGACTCATCAGGGAAACGGGTGGGAGAAGACAAATCATTGATGAAACAATCTCGGAAAAAAATGGCACTATAATTAGCTCCCAGGATAGACGACTGGATCGTTGGAAAGAGCATTATGAGGAGCAGTTTAATTGGCCCACAGTCACACTCAACCTTCCGAGCATCCAACACCTCCCTGAATGGGATATAGACACAGGTCCTCCATCCCTAACTGAGGTTACTAAAGCTGTCACCAATCTGACACTAGGCAAAGCAGCGGGACCTGATGGAATGACTCCAGAGGTATTTAAGTACGGTGGAGACAGCTTACTGTCTGCATTAACTGAGGTACTAGGCAGCGTCTGGGAATCAGAAGAAGTCCCATCGGGTTGGTGTAAGTCACTGATTATCCCCATATACAAGAAGGGAGACAAGTCTTCCTGTGATAATCACAGAGGGATTAGCTTGACTAATATAGTATCTAAAGTCTTAGGCTCAATAATCATGCGTAGACTAAGTGGTGCTCGGGAGGCACAAACACGAGAGAGCTAGGCAGGCTTTAGACCAGGAAGAGGGTGTATTGATCATATCTTCACCCTCCGACAGATTCTAGAACATAGGAATTCCTACCGGCGTCCAGCAGTCATTATATTTCTTGACCTAAAGGCAGTATTCGACTCTGTCGATAGAGAAGTTCTCTGGAGATGCTTGGCTGTAAAGGGAATTCCGAGAAAATATATTGCACTGATTAAGGCACTCTACTCGTACTCATACAGCCAGGTGAGGACTTACGGCGAGCTGTCATCTGAACTGGTGACGATCAGTGGTGTCCGTCAAGGATGCCCATTATCCCCTTTTCTATTCAACTTCATCATAGATGTGTTAATGGACTTGACCCTAAGTGACTTCAGCGATTCAGCGATTGACTTGCTACCTGGGAATAATCTCGTTGACTTGGAATATGCAGACGATATAGTCCTTCTAGGTGAAGACGCTGACGAAATGCAGAGTCTTCTGAACACCTTGAGCTGTAATCTACGAATGTTTGGCATGCTATTCGCTCCCGCCAAATGCAAGATGATGTTACAGGACTGGACTACATCGACGCCTAGTTTAAAAATAGGAAGTGAAGTGGTACAGCACGTTAACCGCTTCACTTATTTGGGAAGTACCATCAGCCAATGCCAACGGGTTGATCTCTGACGAAATCTCATCACGGATACAGGGGGCTCGTTTCGCATTTGCCAGTTTACGCCGACTCTGGAGTAGACTAGATGTTCGACTATCGACCAAAGGGCGGGTGTACTGCTTATCACTCCGCTCCGTCCTCCTTTACGGTTGTGAGACCTGGCCACTGAGAGTGGAAGACATGAAAAGGGTGACTAGCTGTCTTTAATCATAGGTGCCTGCGCTCTATTTCCCGTGTAAAGTGGCACAATAAGGTGAGCAACATTGAGGTTAGGCGTCGAGTTCTAGGTAAACAGGGGAAATCAATCGACGAAGTCGTGAAGTTACAAAGACTGAGATGGTTAGGACATGTGTTACGTATGCCAAGCCATCGCCTCCCTCGACGAGCAATGTTAGCGGATATAGGGTCAGGCTGGAAAAAAGCTAGCGGCGGTCAAACAAAAACTTGGCCTCACCAGTCAATGAAATCCACAACAGTTGGTCTAAGCCATGTAGGAAGGTGTAGACTTCCAGACTGGGGTCCTCGGGACGGTAAAAATCTATGGTTGGAAACAATTGGTGACATGGCTCAAAATCGTTCTCAGTGGTGCAGATGCATCCACTCCTTGTAACTTATGATCTCCAATGAAACTGTTTTGTTTTTCTTTATTACTCCTTTGTCTCACACCTCTCCTCACTGTTTCTATTATGCTTTTCTTGTACTTTCTTCTCCTGCTTCGCGTGCTACACGGGGTGTGGCGACTCGAACTTCCGCACGTTTGTGCAGAGTTCTATGTCGAAAACAGACAGACAGACTCTCCACAATTGGATAAAATCATTTCCCTGTGACAGGAATGAAACAACTAAAAATGGCTCAATGACCTCCAGACCTAGACCAATCAGCAGTGGTGTCATCCAGGGGAGTGTATTGGGACAACTTTTCATTATATACATGAACAGTATATGTGAATGCTTTAGTATAGCCAAGCCAATACCGTGTGCAGATGACTTAAAGGTGACGTATACCTGCACAAATACAGATATCAGCACAACTGTGAACTCCATACATAAAGAACTAATAAAAATTGATAGGTGGTGTGACACCTGGAGACTCGAGGTTAACGTCCAAAAGTGTGGCTGCCTCTGCATAGGCTGTTCCAACATTGAACTCGACCTAGCCACAAAAGTCCTCAAATTCAAATCTCTACTAGACCTAGGACTGAAATATTTACACAATCTATCATTTTCAGAGCATATCTCGAAACAGGTATCGAAATCACACAGGCTTATTGGTTTCCTACTCAGGAACTTCTACAGAAGTAAATCCAGGGTACTACTGTACAAGGTTTGTGTGCGCCCACTCCTAGATTACTGCTCATTCATATTCAGCAGTACACGCATAGAAGACAAACTGAAAGTAGAAGGAGTACAGAGGTACTTCACGCTCAAAGTACTCGGAACCGATAACGGCACAAACTACTCTACCAGATGTGAAATCCTAGGACTACAAACATTATGGTTAAGACGACTGCGACTAAATCTAGCACTCTTCTATAAGCTTCTTAACCACATAGTGTATACCCCTGCTAATTATACTCGGTTCCAGAAGACACTGGATACAATCTTAGACACACTAAAGGTACAGTGGCTATAGAACAATGTAAAACAGCCACCAGGCAAAAGTTTTTCTTGATTAGGTGTGCACAAATATAGAACATAGTACCTGAGGAATTGCGACTAGCAAGCACATTGGCCTCCTTTGAAAAGGCACTTATTGACACACCAAGTGAGTTTGCAAGTGATGCCAGTGCTAATTCTCATGTAAGAGTTTCACAAAGCATTGGTCCATTTAATATATGAACTTAGAGACTACACATGTTGTTTCTTCTGCCTCTGTTTATAATTCCAGACAAAAAAGCAGCAGTCATGACAATAACACCCATACAATTAAGAGTCGATCGAACTATGTCTACCTGATACAAAGGGTGAACCATAACCAACACACGAATGAAATATGAGAAAAAAAGGTCGAAACTTACCGCAACTCCACATGGAAAGATATAAGTTACTTGGACATCATTTATAACCAACCAACTGGTCTCCTTTCCAAGAAGAATGCGGCGATGTTGTATCCACAGTGGCGATCGCCATTCGAGGAAATACATAAATCCACAGCTACCGTTGTGAACACTCAGCGGAGGTGGGATCTAACAAAGTAATGTATTTAAAGCATATATATACTTCCCATGATCAGGCGAAACTCTGCGCAGTATGTCAAAATCCTAATCACTACCTACGCAGCGCCAATAAACCTGGATATCTATGATATAACGAAAATATGCTGACAGCTGAGTCTCAGATCACGCTGATTAATTCGATAGTAATATGCTGCTCCTGCATGCCTTATTTGACATTTTGTATGGATTGGTTCGCAGTCATTCTGGTTCCATATCGAAAAGAATAAAAGATTCACCGGCTGCTGAATCTATAGCACTTCTCTGCATGTTTAACTGTATTCTAACTGATGTGCTGAGCCTTTATCACACTGTGTTACTGAAGACATCGTGTATAGTAAAATAACTATCGTTTTATAAGCCATTTTCACACTTTTCTAAGTAGCCCACCATATCGACCAAATGAAACGCAACACTCCAATATCCAATATCCTGATGACGAGCTAGTATAAACCAGTGATTTCCTTGAGCTCGCTTCTTGATTGTGAGGTAGAGGTTCCAGATCTTCGGTGAGCTTCTGCGTAGTAAGTCCCGACACTCGACTGCTTTAGCTCTGGTAGACTCCAGGAGGAGTGGTGCGGGGATTGGTCGAGATGTGGTTTGTAGTATGCAGTATGTTAGGACTGTATTGCTGCCGTGAATGGAGTTTGACCTAACTCCCCTTGGTCATTCGGTGTAGTCATAAAAGCAGAATAGTAATAATAATAATAATAGGTTGTAGTGTAGATAATATAGGTTGAGATAAGTGGAATAATAAAGGTGACATAAGGAAAAGACAGAGTGAGAGAAGGCAGAATAGGTCGTGGGGATTTAGTTAGTACGCTTATTCATTGACAGTTTGGTTTCAAATTTTATGAGGATAAGCCATTGAGACACAAACCTTGCATTTCTGCATGATTGTCTAGCTTCCGCTTAAAAATCTCCACAGATGGCGCTGTAGTCACGGCCGCCGGTAAAGCGTTCCAGAGACGGCAAACACGAAGCGAAAAGAAATGTGATCGCACTCGAGTCTTTGGTCTCTGGTGTGCTATCCTTAGCGGGTTACCTCGTGGAAGCCTATAATCGCTTAATGGCAGGATGCTTTTATTTGGGTGGGCCTGGTCATTTAGGATCTTGTAGACGGTGATGAGGTCTCCCCTGTGCCTACGGTAACTGAGTGTGAAAAGACCTAATTTCTTTAGTCTTTCCTCATATGATTTGTTGCGGAGGCCGATCACCCATTTTGTCGCTCGTCTCTGGACACTTTCTAGAATGTTAGCATCCCTTTTGAGTAGCGGAGGTGCAATGATATTATGCACCTCAAGGTGTGGCCTCACATATGCCTTGTATAGCCTTAAGAACAGTTCGGGAGTGAGAGCTCCCAGCTGCCTGTGCATAAAGTGTAATGTTGCGTAGGCTTTGGCGACGTCCCTCGAGTAATTTCCACTGGTGTCTAGCTTTTCTGTTAGAATAAGACCTAGATCACGCTCTGATGGAACACAACTCAAGTTCTGGCCACCAAGGGTGTAATTTACACTCTGTGACCTGCCGGAATGAAGCTGCACTACTTTGCACTTCTTTAGATTGAAAGGCATTCCGTTAGCCAAAGCCCAATTTCCCAGAGTTTGCAGGTCAGCCTGCAATCTATCTGAGTCTTCCGATGAGTTTATTGCTCTCCAAATCTTTACGTCGTCAGCGTAAAGAAGCGCAGAGCAGTTTAGTTGGGGGGGCAGGTCATTGATAAAAATCAAAAACATCAACGGCCCTAGGATAGAACCCTGAGGAACCCCTGATGCCGAGGTGTGCCAAGATGATCGGATGCGGTTGACTTTGGTGCAGAATTCTCTCTCGCCTAAGTAATCTGTCAGCCATGCGAGAAGTGCTCCAGAAACTCCCGCCTTGCCTATTTTGTGAAGGAGCAGACCATGGTGAACTGTGTCGAATGCTTTCGCAAAGTCGAGAAAGATCACGTGGGCTGGTACCTTTTTGTCCCAGGTTAGTGTCCAATCGTTCCAGGCTAGTAGAAGATTCGTCACGCAGGATCTTCCCCTCCTGAAACCGTGCTGTGCTTCGTGAAGAAGGTTAGTCCCATCGAAGTATTTTCTCATGTGGTCGTCAATGAGACTTTCCAATATCTTCGATACCACTGGAAGTAGAGCAACTGGTCTGTAACTGGTCACATTCTGCCGGTCACCACCCTTGAAGATAGGGGATAGGATTGCACGTTTCCATTCACATGGAAGTTTCCCTACATCAAGGGAGTGTTGAAACAGATCACTTAGGGGTTGACAGAGACTTTCTGAACACTGCTTCAGGACAGATGGTCTGATGCCATCACAACCTGGAGACTTTCCCGAAGCCAACCGTCCCAATTTTGCAAGTACCATAGCCGGGGTAATTTGAAATGTCCCCAGCAGGTTTTCGTGTGTTGGTTCTGCGATGTAATCTGGATGTTCTGTAGGGGTAATATCCTCGTTACTATTTAGTTGCCTGTGAAAGGCTAGGCTGAATGTCTCTGCCATTTCAAGACTAGTAAGAGATTTCCCATCAGAACCCACTAGATTGCATGCTCCCTGGTTGGTCGGTTTTCTTTCGGCCATAAACCTGTATAGGCTTTTGGGGTTCACTAGAAGCTTATTGGCGAGGTCTCCCTGAAATGTCCTTCTATCGCTCCGGACTCGTATGTTACATCGATTCCTGAGTTCAAGGTACACTTCATATTCGGGTTGACTCTTCGATCGTCGCCACGCGAACCAGGCTTTACGCTTTGCCTGCAGAAGGCGTTGTGTCCCTCTTTTCAGCCATGATCGTTGCTTCCTAGCTTTTGGTGAGACTAAAGGAACAGTGTCTGAGATCGCCTGGTGAATGATCTCCTTTACCACTCTCCAGTGTTCTTCTACTGTTAGCTCTGTCCATTTTTTAGGCCAGTTTGCTTCAGACAGAAGTCTTCGCATTTTGGTAAAGTTGGCTTTGTTATAACACAGATAGGGCTGTGTATTGTCCCACTGTAAGCGCTCGCGGAGGACTATGTCGAATACTATGACCGCGTGGTCACTACTACCTATGGGAGTCGTGATCTGAACGTTTTCCACTAGTAGCTGGTCACTAGTGAGCACGTAATCCAGTCTAGAAGACTTCCCATCAGGGCCCCATCTAGTATCCATCTTGACATTTTCGGTGAATCCAGCCTTCCTGATGGTATGCAGCAGATTTCGATCAAATCTATCATGGGCTTTTCCCGACACCAAGTTAAGAGATGGGGCATTGAAGTCACCAGCTATGACAATTTGATCATAACCCATGTCTTGAGTCGCTGAAATTGTATTTAGCAGTACCTGGTTATGGTCTGCTCCACATGAAGGTGATCGATAAATGCTGCCCACTAGATATTTGCAGTACCCAACGGTGAAGTGGCACCATATGGAGTCAGGGAGCTCTGTGAGGGGAGGGTCCGTCGCGTGAACACATCTGAGCTGTTTGTCGACGTATATGGCGACTCCACCTCCTTCTTTCAGGTCCCTATCTCGCCTGACTAGGACCATATCATTTATACTGACTTCGCTGTCTGCCACCGTAGGGGTTAGCCAGGTTTCCGTCAGTATTATGATTTTGGAGTTTAGTTGTGATTGTAGGTGTCTAAGTTCAGCTATTTTGCCTCTTAGCCCTCTCACATTACTATACAGGCAACTGGTAGTCAGTCTCACCACTTCCCCGTATTGGGGGGTAGTTGACTTGATATTGGCTATCGGTTGAGGAGTTATCCTACGAACTAGTTGGCCGATTCCCCAGGAACCGGCCTGTTGGCGTTTTTTTCTTCTAGTTCAGTTGGAGCACTCGGATGACACTGGCTATCATCGTCCGTGCTGCACCGCTGTAGTGTGACTAGGGGTTGAGGATTTTCTTTTACTACGCTTTGTTCTCTCCTTTGAGTGCGAGGCCGGCTCTCGCAGC